GGGAGGCGACTTGATGTCTTGATCTAGAGTGGGATTTCTGTCACCTGGTCCGTCTCTATATCGCGATCTGGCAGCCGAGGTTGCTTCTCCCGTGAGATTTCGATCGCACTTTACCACACTTCGGCCGACGGCGATGATGACTACACCCAGAACGACATGTTGCAGGCTCAAACACTCATGACTCTTTCTCGATCAAGATCCGAGCAGAGACGCCGCTATCATGCTGTTCCTCATCGTACCGGGACTGGAGGAGCTGGAGATCCTGGATCGGGCGGCGACTCTGATGGTGACGCCTCAAGTCATGGCAGTGGTGGTGATGGATCTCCGGTGGATCCGGCCGGAATGCCTCTCGTTTCCACGATGCTCCCGCACCGTCATTTTGCTCCCGATAATGTGTGTATTCCCGGTCGCCAGCTGACCCGTCTATACAAACACGTTGACATGGGTCCATGGGTGATCCAGAGAATTAATACCCTCACGAACATGACCATGGCCCTAGAAGTGCTGTCGCGGGCGTTGCCGTTTCGCCCGGAGTGGATCTTCCCCAGTGACGTGCCTCGGATGACTACTCCAAGACCAGATCAGTACTGCTGCCACTTGATCACGGGCCAGAACGCCCGCGACCTCATGGTTGCTCTTCCCTGGAACGTACTTACTGGCGCCAACATTCCTAAGCCCATGTCGTTCGAGATCACGGTCGACGATCGCTTGGGATTCCTGATCGAGAGGTATTCGGCTGTCGAGGTCGCAATCGCTTACTGGGAATCGACGCATCGTTTTACAGTCTCGCCGGCGTTGATCCGTAGCGACCCATACCTGGCGCTCTTCGTTATGGAGAGGAAGAACCGTCGATCTCACGCTGGTGCTAGGTAGAAGCAGATCCTGCGACTGTTCTTGATCGCCATGCGCGAGGGCTGGTGTGATCTGGATCTGCTGTTGGATCCCTATTTTCTCCATTTTCTTAAGCGAATGGATGACGTGGCTTGGTATCCCGGGATCGAGGCTCGCAGTACCAACCTCGCGGATCCGCAACTGCACCGTCGTGAGCCTGTAGATCTGATCGAGGCTATCGCTGAGTGTGACGCTCCAATCCGTGGCGTACTCACTACCGTCTGCATCATTCGGGTCATCCCGCTCGCCGGATCGCGCGTCTTGCAGGTAAATTCTTCAATATGACAGCATTGAATCCCAACGCGCTGCCGCTTCGTCCACAGCCATGATCCTGACGCCTCTCCATGTATTTCTTCCCGATCAACTTCGTTAACCGTACTATATGTCATTTTCATCTCTGATCTGAGTTCGTCAGTCTCCTTTGGTCCCACCAAGTTTCTAACTGCGTTAATTCGCACAGAGCTTCACTCCAGTACCTTCACACTTGTCGTTCACCATTTGATCAACGATTTTTCAGATAATAGAGTCTTAGATCCACAATCGAAATCGTTCCCGCTCACTCCATGTCCATCTCAGAATCAATCTCTTTATCAACATGTCATCATATACAACGTCACGTAAACCCTGTCCTCCGATCTGCAACATACTTGCAGATCCATCAACCTTCAACCACACCAGTGACCAACTCACCGGTGTGGATCGAGATCTCACGGTTCCTCGTGAGACTGCATCACACCAAAACGGTTGCGATTAGTGCGATCTCGCAAGAACTCATAGCGAAGAGCACCACAGTTGAGATCTGCCTCATCTACCCAAGTTGGATCTTCAAATCCACGCCAGTGTACCAGAAATTCTCGGTAGGTCCGTCCATATCTAGTCCTCTTGCCAGTCCTCATATCGGAAATCCGCTCCACTTCGTATTCATTTGGATCCCGATCATGGATCCAGCCTCATCGAAGTTCATCCGATCTCCTTCCGCCTCATTTAGACGAGCTATTGGTCGATCTGGGAATATCTTGACCGGTTTGATCTTCGAAATATGCACTACCAGGAAGATGCTGTATGTTGATCCGGCGACATCCAACCTCACTGCGTATTTCCCGATCTTTTCAGCGACGCGGAATGGGCCGTGCCACAAATGCACCAGCATTTTTGCATATCCCTCACGCACTCGATCTAGGTATAACCAGACCCTTGATGCAGGCTCTACAGGATGAGGACGTACTATATCATTTTGCACGTCGGCCCGATCCGCGATCGCTTTGCGTAAACGTTGGTTCACTTGCTCTTGAGCTTGTTGGTAGTACTTTAACCTCCGGTACCGCCATCTTCTTGGATTTCGATCATGCCTGCGAGTGCTCCCCACCGGGATCACCGCTTACAAAGTCGATCTAGGATCCCATGTAGATGGGGGTTTCGCCTCGGATCCGATCTCTTGCGGTATTGATCGCGAAGGTGAGCCGTTCAGCGTATTCGTCCCAATCTCGTTGATCCAGATATTGCCATACATCTTAAGAGCCCTGGTAGTTGTCTGGCTCATACGATCTGCGGATCCATTAGCTTGGGTCGATACGCCATAGTAGCCCGTTGATGTTGTTCCAAGACTTTGTTGAAAGACTTAAAGAAGTCGGACATAAAACGTGGCTCCCGACCGTGCCGGATCACCTCGCCCGCACCAAATCGGCGGAAGACACATTCCTCGTAGGTCTCCGCGATTGTCTGAGCGAATCTAGAGGCGCTGGCTTTGGCGATCACATATCCCGAGAATAGATCCACAAAAATCAACAATTCGGTGTTGCCGTTGAAGGATCTAGGCAATGAAGGTATGTGGTCCATGGCAATGATCTGGAATGGGTATGTCGACTGAAGGTTAACAGGTGGGTCCCCTCTGCGCTGGTGTAAAACCCATCAGGGACAAAACGGCACCAGGGAGTCTCACCCAGCTGACCTGCGTGAATTACTTGAGCCAACATACGACAGACAGCCTCCCGAGGCACAAGGTGGTGAATGCCCTGGCCTTCAGAGACCCACCTCATGGCGCTCCTGAAGTTCATCCCGGACCACAAAAGATGTTGAACATCCTCGCGGACGTCGGTCCAAAGCATCCCAGCTGGGAGAGCGCGACCCGCCTCTGCCAGACTCCGAGCGTTGGGAACGTTCCGGGGCGAGTATACCAGCATATTCCGGGGCGAATACCCCCGAGGACGGAGCGGGCCGTCGAGTCGATGTCTCGAGTCTCGAGCCGGACTCAGCGACGGACGCTTGGATACTGGCGCATCTCGCGCTACAGACGCCTTCCGCTTCCGATTGGCAGCCCGCGACCCAGACGTTGACGTCCTCTTGTTATGTGTAGGAGGCGATAGGTCGAGGGCACTAGGACGCCTCGGACCCGAAGAACCTGAAGATGAGTCACCATTGCCGGGTCTTGGGGAAGGCTTCGCGTACTCAGGACACTCGCAGCGCGGGTCGTCCAGAGCGACCACATTTATGTTTGTGAGACAAACTTCTGGGATCGCCGTGCCCTCAGCGAAGTGATGAAGGCGTGCCGCGAGGCGCATCCAGTTGAACATCACGTTGAACTTCGGCTTCTTCCCCATGATGAAATCGACGAGGGAACGCGCTCCTCAGCGCGCCTCTCAGCTGCCTGACGAGCGACCTCAGAGTCTCGAAGTTGGGCTTGAAGCCGAGCGACTTGGCCTGTTAACTCTGTCACGCGCGCTTGGTGGCGGGACTCAGCGTCACGATATCCTCGGCGCAGGAAATCTTCGCCGTCGATGCGATCTTGCTTGAGGGCCCGTACGCGCTGACTCCTGTGTCGCCACATAGTGGTCCACTCACGACGCATGGCGTCGAAGTTCTCGCGGGCCGTCAAAGTCTCAGACGATAGCGTGCCATTACTCTCGGCTGCTGAGACCGCCTGGAGATGCCGAATCTTTGCCAGAAGCCGGCGGATGAAAGATAAGGAGTTGATCATCCTCTCCGCCAGGCGATCCAGTGGGAACTGACTCAGCAACGCAACCAACTCACGCTGACCCGCGATGGAGTTCACTTCTGCGGTGAGCGTAGTAGGTGCAACACACTGGCGTAGTGTCGGCAAGCAGCCAGCAGCGTCTCCACCCATGAGTGTGTTGAGGTCTTGGAGATCTGCGGTGTCCAGACTCTCGAAGCACAGCAGTACCTCAAGGCCACCGTGCCCGGGGTACACCTTGGCGCCACCTTGTAGTGCGGCGACCGACGCAGGTACGCCAACCAGGTGAACGTCCGGGCCATCGTAGGCAGGCGGCGCATCCCAACTAACGGGAGCCAAAGCCATGCCCGTGTCCGCGAGCGTCGGAACCCCGGAGATCACGCCAGCCAGCGACATTTCCTCTACCTCGGCAGGCGTCAGGAAGTTGGCCGGAGGAAGCCCACCAGAAGATGTGTTCACAGATGTTGGAGCAGACGGCATTATGGCGCCCGAGTCCGCAGAGTTCCCAGTAGTGGTATCAACAGACGACAGGCTGGATCTACCCCTTGGTCAGGGACGACCGCAGCCTCAGACGTAGGTACCGCAGGAACAGGTACCGCCTCACGAGCCGGGGACGAGAGTGTCTTGAACCATGTTGCAGAGGAGAGCGAGACGA